AGTGGAGCGTTACGACACATTTATAAATAACGCGATCTAACCCAAAAACCTTTATTATGAATAATATTGGTCGCAAAAGCCTACGTGTTAAACTGATTGGGACACTTGTCTACAGGAAAGCCACTCACAAGGGTGCCTATCTAAAACCTGACTCCCATTACCATCCAGCTCAGAAGAATTCCCTCATCAAAACTCTTCACCGCAGGGTTAATTGCATTTCCGACCATCACCACCTAGCCAGTGAACTGGAACACGTACACCAAGTCCTCAAGATGAATGGATATTCGGACTGCACAATCTGTAAAGCTGTCATTCCAACCGTTGGGAGAGAACCACCTGAGGATCCAATTAAAACCATCACCTTGCCATACATGGCAGTAGTCACCAAAAATATTCTCAAAATCATGAGCAAACACAAGATCCAGGTTCGATTCAACACAGCACGTAAAATTCGTGATCTGATCCCATCTGTGAAGGATGTGATCCCTGACAGGCAATACCTCGTTGTCTAGAAACTAAGTTGTGCCTGCGGCAGTAGTTACATTGGAGAAACCAAGCGACATGTTTCAGACCGTGTTCGTGAACACAAGGCGGATCTGAAGCACGGTAGGACTAATACATCTGCCGTGGCTGATCATTGTTTTAACGCTGTGTGCACACATGAAATTTATTTCTCCAAGACTAAGGTACTATGCAAACCCACTGGCTATCAACAAAGATTTGTTCATGAAGACATCCAGATATACAAACACAGACACAGTTTCAACCGAGAAGATGGGTACACATTGAGCAATCATTGGGAGGATCTTATTAACCAGGTAAAGTCATAACTGTCTGTGATGCTTCCATTATACCTGCCAATGGTAACAGTTATTTCCGACTCTGTGAGTTACATTACCTTGTTAAATGTCTTTACATTAATGGACTAAATGTCTCACTAACATAGCTGCTGCTTCGCTTTACCTTGATGGGGCGGTGGCTCTTGTTGTTTAATAGGCTGAATGTGTCTCATTAACACAGCCGCTGTTGCGGGAACCGTCTCACATTGACATGCTAATCTCTCATCTCGAGCAATACAATGGCTTCTTCAGCACCGTAGCCATGGGGTTACATTAACACATTGACATGCTAATCTCTAGCAATACAATAGCCGAGGTTTACCTAGCTCTGCGATCTTACATTTACTTGCAAATTCCATCTCTAGCCCCGCCCACTTACCCTTGGGTTGGACCCACCTCAAACCTATATAACCTTTGGCTGCAGTAGCTCTCTCGCTATATTTCTTCCTGCCTCAGCAGTCTGCCTGCTGTATGTTTTCACCTGAAGACGATTGCTTGTGTTGCGATTGAAACGTCATGATTTTGTATTACTTTATTATTTTTCGATCTACGTGACTTTACCGAAAGACCCAAAGAGTACGTATTCATGTAACCCAAGGGGCAGAACAATGCTTTTCATGATCAGCTAATGGTTAACGCACCATCTTGGAATGGCAACCCTTTTCGAAACACAAATATAACTTTTTTTAACAATCTTATTAGTGCCGATAGCGTTCTTTGTACCGAAAATACCTCAGGTTCCCAGCAGGGCCGCTGGGACGGCGTGTGTGTGTGAATATTGAACACTCTTGCCAGCGCCTACACTCTTTCTCTCGGCTGCGCTGGTCAGGCTCTCTCCACTGCTCCGTGCTCTCTCCCTTGGCTGCAGCTGCCAGCTTTGCACGGGCACCCTGGGGTGTCTCCCACCTTTCTTCCAAAAGGGCTCCTGATTGAGCTGCTGCTGGGAGCTGGCACTCAATGTAGAATAACTTTCAGCAATACTTTGCCTGTCAGCGCCGAACTCACACTCGGCAACGCATCGCTCCTCTCCTTGGTGTTCTCGCCATCCATGGTTGATTGCGGGGCCCACCCACGGAGCTTGCAAGACAGTTTCCGTTGATCCTTGTAGACTCGACCTTTGCTGGTGTGCAGCACCGTCCGTCTCTTCGTGCTCTCCGCCCTTCTTCCAAGAGGGCTCCTGCTTGAGGGTTGCGTTTAGGCTGGATCACTCACTCCCAAAAGTCGTAAATTATATTAGCACACCTCTTAGCTTCTCACACTTCTTATAGCTTAGCATCGTACAACTTATCGCAGTCCTCGACTCTACAAGCGACTCAAGACATAAGGGTAGATGTAGAATACAAACTTTCAGCGATACTCTGTCGGTCAGTGCCGAACTCAGCACTTAATACATCGCCCCCTCTCATCTGCGAGACACGACACCCATGGTTGATTTCGAGGCCATACCCCGGAGCCTGCCACTTGCAGTACTGACTTCCGTGTTTCAGCTCCTTCATTATATTAGAAAATCTTCCACCTCGGCTCGCCTTCTCACAATGGATCGGAATTCCTTTTAATTTCGCTCTCAGCCTGTGGGAACAGCTGTTTGTCCGGTGTGCTTGTGTGTGTATGGCTGTTCTAATTTATGGAAGTAATTTTGTTAAGTCACATTAAAGCTTGGTTCCTGTCCCTTTCCTCCAGCCATCTCGCCATCTGCAGCAATCAGCCTACAAGGGGGGGGGGGGGGGGGGGGGGGGAGGATTCCTTTGGCCTTTTCTTGGAGTCAGTTTGGAATGTCCCGCAGAATCTCATTAGCCCCCCTTGCACCGGGGTTTTTTTTAAATATTACATTTTTATGACCTCCTCCAGCTGTCCCTTGTGTGGTGAGGCGAGAGGCAGCGGGGTGTGAGGGGTGAGGTGACAACCCCCTTCCACACCCCAGCGCTGCAACCAGATCAGACTTATTTTTAAAAGAATAAGCAGAATCATTCTGAATATAAATTTTTTAAAAGGCATATATACAACAGTTACCTCACAATACACCTCATGTTCTTATTAGTCCATAACCTGTACAAGGTGCAGTTAAATGGCAAGTGAGTGTAAAGGTCCGTCTTCTTTCTTCCAGAAAAAAAAATCTCCAGTCCCAGCACAATGTGTAGAAAACGACAGGCTTGGTCCAAAGCTGGAGTGCGCTTGTGGTCACCGCTGCTCACTGCTCGTTTGCAGTATTATCTATGCATCATGCTCCACAGATGAAGTGCACTCTTGGCCACGCTGCTCACTAATCATTTGTGTTGTTGTCTGTGCATCATGTGTGGTTTGCACAAAACGAAATGCTGCTTAAACCAGAAAAAAACAGAGGTTCTGCTGGTTGGCACTTGGGCTCAGGCAAAACAAATTGTGGTGCTGGAATCCCAGACTCTAGGATTCAGTTTTCTACTCATCTAAAGAGTATTGGCACCATACTCGACTAAAAATCTCGTTTGCTCACCACGTGCAAAATATAGTCAGGTCCTGCAATTTACATATCAGGGCTCTACAACACATTCGACTACTATTGAGTCGTGACGTAGCCAACATGGTGGCATGCAGCATATCGACAAGGCTCGATTATTAACTCTTGTCTCTACAGGACATCTGCCAAAAACATTACCAAGCTCTAGTATTTACTAAATTCTTTGGCACGTGTCGTGAAAGGATACTGCAAAATTCGACCATGTATGTCCAGTGCTCGCAGAACTGCTGAACGAATACATTATAAAGGTTGCACTAATTACACACAAAGTGCTTGCCACAAATGAACCACAATACCTTGCCGATCTCGTCAAGAAACATAAACCATCATGCGAACTCCAGACATCCTCGCAGCGGCTTTTAGCTAGTTATTGAACGGTCACTATATCACACACTTTCAGATGTGCTTCTGCGACCATCTGGATTTGCTCTTCCTTCTGATATTAGAAAGCTATTGGAGCGATGCACTTTTAAATCTCGATTGAAAACGAATTTGTTTCACACGTAGGCTTTCGCAACCAATATCCAGAACACGGTTTTTGGGTTAGATTGCATATGTCGTTAAACCCGCCACCACCTGTCACGTAAACAAAACATGCCAATTCGTTATTAGTACAGCACACCGGTGTGTTGGAGAGCCAAGCCACAACATTTACAATCGGAGTACCACGTTTCTCCAGTAATTACAACTAGCTTCATCAGGCGACAGCCAGATTTGGAAAAGTCCACCTGTTTTCGAGTTTTTTTTCATTTATTAGGTATAGTCCTGTGAGCCATGCGGCTCTTAAGTCGGGTGCAACCGCAACAAACAAAATTTGAACACAGAACATCTTAAAGCGACAACGCGTAACAGAAACATTCTGGAATAAACCAGCAAATATTCCACACAAAAAACGTATTAAAACGCTGTGTGCAAAAATCAATGTGGTGCAAGCCAACAACAACAATCACAAGACAATTTATATTAACCATATGTTTTCGAATCACCAAAATAAAGCTGTAAAAACAATGTAACAACAATAATCATAGGAAATAGAAGCGTGGATGTGATGACAACACTTGTGCACTCTTCTTGCGCGAAATGGGAGCGGGGGATTAATGAATCGACGTGTATTATGCATGCGCATTATGCGTATTATGGGTATTATGAATTTAAAAACATTTCTTTAAAACTTGTTTTTGTGTTTAGTTAGTCCTTCGCACGCACCTCCGATTAGCACGGTTGGCTAAATATGGTGCAAAATAAGTTCAAAATGCACACAGTGTACAGACACATACAATCATGTTCACGTTGTTGGTGCCGAGCTCAAGCACCCAAGGGCTCTCTGTACACGCGAGGGAGCAATGTTAAAGGAATATAAATAAATACACTTGCTCGAAAACCACTCCTGCTCTCTGACGTCACTACTCCACGTTATGTCATCGGCGCGAGACGCCAGGGGGAGGTGTACCCCGCTAGTGACGGCATGTCACCACCCTCCGCAGAGCTCGTGCGCGTGACGTCACGTCTGCCGCTGTTCCAGTTAAATCCTTATTTGGGCAAAGTCACGTCCAATCACTGGCGGGTCATTAACATAATGTTTTCATTAATTCCGTCGCGAGTTCAATGCGTTCGGCTCAGCAGCAACGCCCAATCGCTCCATATATGGGCCTGGGGCATTAACATAATTTAATCAGTTGCCGCCGCTCAGTGGGGGGGGGGGCGGGGAAGAGGTGTCTCGCTACCGACGTCATGTCATCTCCCCGCCGCGCGATTTAATCGTTACGTCACGATATACCAGGACGTTACCGCTCTGCTCGCCTCTCACTGAGATCCGAGGTGAGAAGTTCAAATCGTGGTTCTTGTTGTTGTTGTTTACCCAGGTAGAGCCTCCCTCCTCCTCTCTCTCGCAGGGACATCAATTGGGTAGCAGCGAGAATCGATGTCCAGGTTGGGACATTACAACCCGGGGCCTGGCCATGCGGGGCCTAGCCTCCTGCCCTCGCCTGATTGTTTTTGGTTGAATTCTGTTTAAGTTTAATTTGTCTTCACCTGGCTCACTACTTTGAAACAATTTTTTTAAATTAACTTTTTATTTATTTCATCAGGCAAAAAGGCCACTGAGCTATGTAGCTCTTTTTCAGAAGCGACCTGCCCACAGCGAAGTGGCTTATGTGGAAACGTAGAGCAGCCAATAATAATCTTAAACGCGTGGTGATGTTGATTCTCAATGTAGAGGGGAAAACCGGAGGACCCGGAGGAAATTCCGTGCGACCCCGGGGAAAGAGACAGGCGTCAGGGTCGGGATCGAACTCACGACCTCCTGTATACCAGGCGAGAGTAGTTAACATCTTGCCATCACGGTGCCCACTCGAGTATTTTTTTTTACGGATGATACCAGTGCCGAATAAGTGTGTTTCACGACTGAAGTCCATTGAGCTAAGAGTAGCTTATTTTCAAGGACGACTCTGCCTGCAGACAAAGAATTCTACAATCGCACTCGCCACCCCCGTGCGCTCGCCTACCCGAGCGTGTTTGTGTGCTGGGTAGCTCACGCACGTGTTTTTGTGTTAGAATTTCCGTGTTTATGTCTGCAGTCGATCATCGATTTTCCGGCGGCTTCGCGGGAGAAGAGGGTGACAGATACTTGGGGCTTTGGGTTTAAAATATTAGTTTGTTTTTGTTTTCCTACAAAACCTTTTATAAGCATGGAAACAGGATGTTAACACAGCACATACGCAGCTGAAGTCGCCATCTGTTCAGCCGAGCTTTCAAGTAAATCTGAGCGTGGCTTCAATACTCTTAGTTGAAGTTAAATGTATACATGTCTGCATAATACCAGAGGTGGGCCGTCAGGGCCAGCAAGGCCTTCTCTGCTGGTCTAGAGATTGTCAGAATCAGAAAATTATATTTTATAATTTAATATATTTTCATAAATGCTACATGTATTTTACAAAGTTCGTTCCCATTAGTCTATTAACGTCATTTCATTGCTACTCTCACCCTCGGTGGCGCTGCTTCCAGTGCAGCTCATATAAATTTGAGCTTTTATACAATCAGATTTTTCACCTGTGTTGTCTCCGGGTGAAACATCTACCCTGAGGCCTTCAGAATTTCGAGTGATCCCCTCTGCTGTTGAAGCAAATGGGGACAGTGTTGTTGATTGTTATATTCTTTAACCAATCAGATTGAATTTTGATTTAAAGCTTTCGTGACTGCAGTAATTCATATTCTTAGCTCTTTCGGTAAAGTCACGTTGAAGGGAAACAATAAAATATATATAAAACAATAAAAATTCTCACGACGTTTCGACCATAACCCCCGCCTCTAATCACTGCACCTGATATGAGTTAAGTGATGACGTCACCTTGCTGCTCTATATAAAACCGGGAGCAAGCGCGAGGGCTTTACCATTCTGGCGAATTGCCCGATGATGCTGGATGTATTTACCAGCGAAACGTCGTACTGAAACTGTAAATGTTGTGGATTCACTCTTCAAAACACACCGGTGGGCTAAAGTAGTGAATTATTGGTCTTTTGTCAACGTGACACTTTTTTTGCTGATTGGCCGTGTCGGGTGGTGGAGGGTTACGACACATTTATAAATAAACGCGATCTAACACAAAAACCTTTATTATGAATGCCATGAGAGATTCGTTCATGAGGCTATCCACATATACACGCACAGAGACAATTTCAACCAAGAAGATGGATTCTGGCTTAGCAATCATTGTAAGGATTTGATAAACCATTTCAGGTCTTAATTGATTGTTCACGCTTACGGTGGCTTTCAGACAGCATGCATTAATATTTTCTCTCCCCCCTCCTCTTTTCAGAACATAAATGGACTAGTCCTTCTAAATAAACTGCCAAATCGCTGCGCGTGGCGCTGACATTTTTTGTAAATAAATACACCGTTTTAAAAAATAAATTAATTAATGCGAAACCGACACTTCTTTCAAATGTTTCTTGCCGTTGTTTTTTTCACACCTGATGACGACCGTTTGTGTTATGGTCGAAACGTCGTGAGAATTTTAACTGTTTTATATATATTTTATTATTTTATTGTTTCCCTTCAACGTGACTTTACCGAAAGAGCTAAGAATATGAATATATGTTTTCATAAATGCTACATGTATTTTACAAAGTTCGTTCCCATTAGTCTATTAACGTCATTTCATTGCTACTCTCTCCCTCGGTGGTGCTGCTTCCAGTGCAGCTCATAAATTTGAGCTTTTATACAATCAGATTTTCCACCTATGCTGTCTCCGGGTGAAACATCTACCCTGAGGCCTTCAGAATTTCGAGTGATCCCCTCTGCTGTTGAAGCAAATGGGGACAATGTTGTTGATTGTTATATTCTTTAACCAATCAGATTGAGTTTGCCATGTTTGGCATATTCTTTGACACGCCGTAGCCTTCTGGCTTGCCTAGCCACCTATGTTAGCATTTTTCGTGGTGTGTGATCAGAGGACCAGTTAGCTAACTGAAGTAAAACTCTTAGTAAAGTCACATAGAAAATAAATTAAATACGTGACTCCGTGACTTTACCGAAAGAACCAGAGTAATTCCTGCAGTCACAAAAGCTTCAAATCAAGTTTGAAGTAAAACTAGCTATCACGTAACGTAGCATCATTTAAGATTTATTTAAACTTTCTTTCGCGACGTTTAGATTTTTAGATGTGCTTTAGATTTTTTGTTTAGATTTTTACTTTGCCCTGTTTTAAACGCTGAAGGAGGAGACGAAATCGATTTGGTGGTGGATTTACTGGTAAAGCCCTTTTCGAGAAGGACCTTTCAAGAAAAGCTGGAATGTGTGAGGAAGGGTCAACCAATCCCGCAGCTAGCAGCCCTGTCCCAGCCAGAGAAAGGATTTGTGCGGCACTTTCAATCGACCAACAACGAAAGGTACACCTGGCTTATAGCGTTGAAGGAACATTGCAAATGGTATTGCTGGGAATGCCTGTTTATTTGCAACTGATCGAAATGGTGTTTGGTGCCACGCTGGGTTTGCAAATCTGAATTGCTTAACCAAGGCAGCAAACGAGACACCAAAGCTATTTATTATTATTGCTTGCTTTAGATCGTTGCTCCTGGTGTGAATGATGTTCAGATTCAGTGGCCTGGCTGTGCCTTTGAGTGTGCGCTGTGGCATGTGCATTTAGGCCCAGCAGCTTGGGTGGAATCTTTGGGGAAGCCTGTTGAATCCTGATTGTGTTATTTGTGTTTTACGGAATTTTTGCTTGCTTGGTGGTCGCATGAGTAAATGTGACTGGTTGTTGTGAGTTTGTTCTTGTTTCTTTGTAATGACATTTATTTGGGCTATACGATGTATATTTGTGATGCAACATCCTGTCATTCTGCGTAACAGTGGTACATCCTTGATGGTTTCAGGGACCATGTATTTCATTTCTCTGCAATTAGTGTATTTTAACTTTTATAGGTGTTGAGCCTCGTGTTAAATCACTTTATTCCATTTGATAAAGGTTACTGTCACTGGATATGGGTTGGTTACGTAGAACGACACTAGCCTATAGCCCTAGTGTCATGGTGAGCTTATTTGAAGGCGGTTTAATTGCGGGAGGATAGCACAGAACGCCTAGGGTGTAAATTACACGGTCCACCTTTGCATATTACAACGTATTATTTTTAACACCCTTTACTATGTTATCTGAATTTAGCTTAAATATTCCTTTCGTAGCCAGATAACCAAAAGCGTGTCCGTGGAGTTTTAGGTGAACATTCATTTTGAAGATACTTAGGTTTCCGGACATTTCTGACCAGTTGCCCCCCCCCCCCATTGTGTGCCTTAGCAGCCAGTGCGATGAATTGAGGAAGCTTTTTCACTATATCATGAATATATGAATACGTATTGACGTGCAAGTCATGTGTGACTGTATATATATGCATTCCTCTTTTGCCTCTATGCTGAGGTAGAGAGTGTTGATATTGATGTTTTCCTGTCTGCAGCTGACACTTCCTCTGCCACTTTGCTCTGCAGAATTGGTCTAATGGAGCAAAGGCACTCAAAGTTGAGTAAAAAAATACACCAGTGCGACCAGTGTCCTTACACCACGGATCAAACTGGAAACTTGAAGCAACACCAGAGAAGACACACAGGAGAGAAACCTTTTAAGTGCACTGCGTGTGAGAAAGCATTTGCATACTTATCAGTTTTTCAAAACCACCAGAGAACACATACAGGAGAGAAACCCTTCAAGTGCACTCTGTGCGGGAAGGCATTTGCACAGTTATCACACCTTCAAAACCACCATAAAACACACACGGGTGACAAGCCATTCAAGTGCACTGTGTGCAGGAAGACATTTGCTCATTTACCAACTCTTCAGACCCACCAGAGAACTCACACAGGTGAGAAACCATTCAAATGTACTGTGTGTGAGAAGGCATTTGGGCAGCCATCACATCTTCAGAGCCACCGGAGAACACACACAGGAGAGAAACCCTTCAAGTGCACTGTGTGCGGGAAGGCATTTGCACAGTTATCACACCTTAAAAACCACCATAAAACACACATAGGTGACAAGCCATTCAAGTGCACTGTATGCAGGAAGACATTTGCTCATTTACCAACTCTTCAGAACCACCAGATAACTCACACGGGCGAGAAATCATTCAAGTGTACTGTGTGTGAGAAGGGTTTTCAACAGTTATCACATCGAAACAGGCATCAAAAGATGCACAAGGAAATGAATGTGAAATCGGCTTGTGAAAGTCAAAGTGCTGCAATGAGCCCATCCCTCATGAAAAAAGAACCAGAAGAAAAACCCAGTTTAAACGCTTTGAAAGGAATCAAGGTGACATATAAAGAGGTGAAGGTGAAATGTGACGTGATGGTGAAGAGCGAAGTAGTGACGGTGAAATGTGAAGATGAAGATTCAACTCCAATATCGGACCCTCGCATTGATGGAGACAATGTAAAGCAGGAGAAGAATTCTGACTCGGAGGCAGATCGAGACAACTCCCAGCAGTTTGTGGATGTGGAGGTGTGGGTGGACTTCGTAGACAATACAGAGTCACATGGAGTCTCAGTAGAAGTGTAAGCTTGAAACGATGAAGCTCTATTGCTTTTGTTCCAGGCCGTTGTTGTATTCTAACCTATAAAAGGCATTTTTGTCTGTCTGTCTGCCCCTCTGTCTGCGTACGCTCGCTTGCGGGGGATTTGGCTCTCGGACCGTGGGGTTGACGCCGAAAAAAAATTGCTGGGCGGTACGCCCCGAGCCCCGCAGTGGAAATAGGCTATTCCGTTTTCCCATCCCTAAACTTTAAAGTAGTTGAAATTGCGTTTTTGTGCAATATCTCTATTTATTTATTTACTTTTGCCGCTCAAGCTGCCGGGGGTTGCCCCTGGCAACGCACGCGCGTCATTGCTGGAGGGTAGGGGGATTTCTCCTTCGCGTTCAAAATGCCAAAAAAATACACGCAACACTGAGGTAAATTCATCAAAGTGTCACGTCCTCTTCCCCCCCACCCCAATGTGTGCACTTACTACTATAGCGTCGGTAGATACTAAAATTATCGTGTTTAGACAGGATTATTGTAGCGTGGGGGGGAGGTGGTTAGCGGCCCAGCCCCCAGCCTCGGCCGGCTGGGCAATCTAGGCGAGACCGGGGGCTCTGCGCGGGACTAGGCCTCATCACGGCCTCTCTGCCAGGTGAGTACTTTGTGCTATAGAGTCGATATATAATGCTACTAGCGGCAAATACCCAGCGTTGCCCGGGGGAAAATATATTTAAAAACTTCTAAAAACTTACAAACATAACATACAAATTAAAAGAAAACTCATTAAAAAAAATTAAAAACCTAGCGCACCACTAATCGATTATTAAAATCGCGCAAAGGAATCGAAGGTTGTAGATTACTTTAGAATCGTCTTGAAGCGACGACACGCAATGGAAACATCCTAGATAAACGAGCAAATCTTAAAAAAAGTATTACAATGTGTGCTCAAATCCCAATAACAACCATAAGATAGATTAACCATGTTTTCTAAATCACCAAAATAAAGCCTAAAAAACAATAACAATAGTAATCATAGGAACTGTGATTCTCATTTAACAATAAACGATATAAATAACATGTACGACCAAACTTGCAGCCATAGCTGGCAGCATGACACTCCCAGTGTACTATGTGTGAGTGAGTGTATGATGTGTGAGTGAGTCATATGATGAGTGAGTGTATGAGTGAGTTAGTGTATGATAAGTGAATGGGTCAGTGGTTGTGTGAGTGAGTGTATGATGTGTGAGTGAGTCATCATATGATGGGTGAGTGTATGAGTGAATTAGTGTATGATAAGTGAATGGGTCACTGGTTGTTTGAGTATGATGTGTGAGTGAGTCATCATATGATAGGTGAGTGAATTAGTGTATGATGAGTAAGTGAGTCAGTGGTAGTGTGAGTGATGTGTGAGTGAGTCAGCGTATGATGTGTGAGTGAATCATATGATGGGTGAGTGTAGGAGTGAATTAGTGTATGATAAGTGAATGGGCCAGTGGTTGTGTGAGTCAGTGTATGATGAGTGAATTAGTGTATGATGAGTGTATGTGTCATTGGTGGTGTGAGTGTATGAGTGAGTGTATAATGAGTGAGTTAGTGTATGATGAATGAATGGGTCAGTGGTTGTGTGAGTGAGTCAGTGGTAGTGTGAGTGTATGATGTGTTAGTGAGTCAGCGTATTATGAGTGAGTCAGCGTATGATGAGTTAGTGTATGATAAGTGAACGGGTCAGTGGTTGTGTGAGTGAGCCAGTGTATGATGAGTGAGTGTATGATGAGTGAATTAGCATATGATGAGTGAATGGGTCAGTGGTTATGTGAGTGAGTGATGTGTGAGTGAGTCAGCGTATGATGAGTGAGTCAGTGCGATGTGTGAGTTGGTGTATGATGTGTTGTTGAGTCAGTGTATGCTGTGTGAGTGAGTCAGTGTAAGATGAGTGAGTGTATCACGGCCTCCTCCCCGCCATCACGGTATGCTAAACATTTCGAACAGACACATTCACAAATTTGACTTTTTTTATATATATAAGATAGAGTCAGCATGTACTACTGTAGTGTAAGCAGGTACCACCACAGTCGGTACCCACTGCTGTAATCATAGCAGGTACCACCACAATATGCACTGCTGTAATCATAGGTACCACCACATCAGTATGCACTGCTGTAATCATAGCAGGTTCCACCAGTCAGTATGCACTGCTGTAATCATAGCAGGTACCACCACAGTCAGTATGCACTGCTGTAGTGAAAGCAGGTACCGCCACAGTCGGTATGCACTGCTGTAGTGATAGCAGGTACCACCACAGTCGGTATGCACTGCTGTAGTGAAAGCAGGTGCCACCACTGTCAGTATGCACTGCTGTAGTGAAAGCAGGTACCACCGAAGTCGGTATGCACTGCTGTAGTGATAGTAGATACTGCTATCGAGTTGGTAGATACTGCTATAGAGTAAGTAGATACTAAACCAGTCAGTATATACCACTACAGTCAGTCAATATTGCTACAGTCAGTATATACTACTATACAGTCAATACATACTACTACGGTGAGTAGCTACTAGAGTCAGTAGATACTACTACAGAGTGAGTAGATACTGCTATAGCGTTAGTAGTTACTACTATAGTCAGTGGATACTATAGAGTCAGCAGATACTACTATTCAGTTAGTCGTTACTACTATAGAGTCGGTAGATACTACTGTATAGGCCATAAGGTGAACTAGGAAAAAGTGGCTATAAAATGATTTTCGTTCCCACACCTGGGCACTACTTTTTAAATGATTTTTTTCATAGACAAAACCATTATCGACTTTATGTTAAAAGTTCTCCGCAAAATACCCTGCAGTTTTTTGTCACAATTCTTAAATGTATATTATTGTGAATTAGAAAAACGAAAATCTTATGCTGCTGGTTTTGTTTGTAACTTTATTTATATACATTTTAGCAACACAAAATATCTCTCAAACTGACGTTTATACATGTACCTAAACACTTGAGACAGGTTTTGGTGCATTATATACTCAAGTGTGAATGTAGACCATGAAATATGGCACATTTGTAGAAAATATGCTTCAACTTTACGGATTGGCACTAAGCAAAATTAAACATAAACATAAATTTAGCAAAACTGTGATGTTTTATACATCAAAATTTTCAGTAGGTACTGTGTAATCACAGAGAAAGATACAAATATAAGCACACTTTGGCCCAAGTTGGCTGAAATGACTCGAAATGCTACACTGTCCCCTTATTTTTGAATGCTGCCAAAAAAATTACAATTCTACAACAGATTCTTTACAGCTCAAAATCACCTTAAATTATAACACAGCGCATATTTACTCATCGGTATCATCACTGTCAGAGCCATCATCCCATGTAGGTCTTTCTTCTGTTTCCTGTGAAACATTTGCACAATTTTGGCACCGACATAAATCAGTACAAGACAGTCTTGCAGACATACAGGAACATTTTCCAGTCTCACATTTGCTATGCTTGCAACTGCAGTGGACTGCCTGCAACACACTTTCAGGGGCAGGATTTCTATTCATCCAGGTCACTGTTAACTCACCATCCTCGAGGTGCCATCCATTGCCAACGGGTGAAGGGGCACACATTATATCTTTCAGAGAATGTCTCATTATGGCTGCTTGGTAGTTTGCCCGGGGGCATGGATAGTTCTGGCAAAGCTGACGATGCCATACAGAACGCTTTGTATCTTGCATCGTTCACATTTTCGGCAGATGACTGGCCATACAGGTGGCACACATGTGCAAAGTAGCTCAAAGGTAGACTGGTCTAGGTTAAAACTGCTACCCAGATTTGTAAAAGCAGTCAGATATTCCTCTTTCTCACAAGCAACAGAAAATGCCTTTTGCCTTTGCCATAAAAGGCACTTGTAGAGTCACAACCTGAGAAGGTATGGATCCCAATAAGTGCCAAACAGACACTTGTGCCAAGAGCTGACGACACCTTAGCTAAGTCAATGAGCCTTGTTTTGTTGCCAACCCCCATGAAAAAATACAACCTACATGGTAAATCTGGCTGCAGACTTAAAGCAATCACTGCCACATCAGTATCAGGGCCCTTGATGACTACAGTTTGATGTCCCTGTGCAGCATGTGCATGTTAATACCCCCTGGTGTCACATTCCTCATGATCACATGTCAGATCTTCAACAGCATTGAGAGTTTGTAAACCCTCCATTACAGTCACGCATTGACACAGGTCTCCATGTGCTATGTACAAGCTTAAGTCCTTGCCCACAGTGGTAAGATCAGCCTCTCGCCACACAACATAGAGGAATTCTGCCAGTGCTTCTTTGTTCCATCTGATAGAAACTTTTTCCATTGTGTTGGTGTCTTCTGACCCCGTCCAAAAATTTTCACCAGTTGTGTACCACCACCAGCTCTACGTGACCATTCTAGGTTTTTAATACTCATTTTCGGATACTGGTCAATCACAAAGTCAATCCGTGTACAGTTGTGTTTCAGAGCAAGCTTGACTATGTACTGCAGTATGGTCTCTGCAAGCTCTCCAAAGGTACTTGGTATTGACCGAATGGCTTGAATGACTGCCATGCCATCAAAGAGAATAGCTCCATCTGTCGGAACTTTGTCAACTAAACAGTCTCCACCTTTGGTTTCCAATAAATCCATAAGAGCTGATTTGTTTGTTTTAGCAAGTGAACCATCAGCACTGGCTCAAGGATATGACACAGTTCCCAAGGAGTAAGACAGAATTTCCCGCAGGTCTATTTTTCTACTTTGACCTATGACGAGTAATCTGGAGAATAGTTTCTTGTCGGCACGTAGAATCACTTCCTTGCCTGCTGCAGATTTCTTCTTTGTCTTTGCTTGGTCACTAAAGGTCTTCAGTTTTTGTGTTTTGATGGGAGTAAATATGTCAACTGATGGTGATAACAGTCTTTGGTCCATAAACTCTTTGACAGCATTTTCCCCCTTTTCCGGAGCTGCGAGCAAATCCCTCATGATTTATTCAGCTGCTACTGTCCCAGAGCTAAGACACACAATGGCATCTTGGTGTGTGTCAAAAGGATTCAGCATGGAATCTAGGGTGGAAATTATTCTGGTCACAGCCCTTTCATCATTATGAATTCGTGTGCTGTCAAGGTCTTTTCGTTTCCTTATATCGGGAGATTTACCTGCCATTGCCTCACATTGTCTTGCTATGGCAGCCCTTTCATGTTGCGACAATATCCAGCGATATACTGCAGCCCGATTCTGTGTTAACCCTGTCCAACCACCCTTTGTCTTGGAATCTCTGTTGCATGTTTGCTCAATGGCCTGGTCACAAGCATTCGAGGCAAATCCATGGACACTTTGACGTTGGACAGTCCACTGGCCTTTAACACTGAGCTCACTGTGGCAAGAAGGATGTGTGAGGGGCAAATTGACCATTTCCAGCCAGTATGAAGGTAAATACCTAGCATAATTTACACGATCGTACGCAAAAAACCATGCCATCATCAAGCGCACTGTTGACAGGTGAAGCTGCCAATCTGATTATCGTGTTGCTCTCACAAATAGAAGGAGTATCTGTACCATGTCGATGTATGAACTCCAGAAGGCAAACGTTGGGTTTTCTGCACTTCTTCTTTTAACAACGTCTTCATATTTCGAACACATTTTGTCAAATTTCTCATTAGCACACAAAACATCCATTGTTCTGTCCGGGAATGCACATTTGATCTCATTGATGACATCCAGACACTCATATCTCTCCTCTGGTGGCAGAGAATCTAAGAAGGTGAGAAGTCTGATGCGTTGCAGACTCTCATACAGAAGTTTGTGTGACCTCATGCTGCGGTTGTAATGATGACCACTGATCACTCCATTGATGGATCCTGGGGCAACAACTTCGGACTCAATGAGTATGTCTTGCAGTCCTGCATCTCCAAACCTTTTTCCTAGAATGCTGAGGTAGGACATGCAGGTGTG